TCTGAGGACCTAATCCATCCCTTTGTCCTAAGACCATATCTACACCACCATACACCCAGGTGAATGACCTTACAAACCAGGTTCCCAAAACTCCTGATGCCTTACTACATCGTAAAGGGAGTCTTCTTGTGGAAGTTCTTGCTGCAGACAAGTCCCTCATTCCTAGAGGGGCATTCAATGATTCTGGTGGCCTCCTCCACTGGGGCAGTCACAGATGCAAGTGACAGTGGAATGTCCTGACAGGGCGCATTGTTTTACCCTGATACTTTTATCTTTGTCTCCTGTGGACTCCGTGACCCCTTTCAAAGCAACCAATGTTGACTGAGCACCAGTTAGTACCAAGTGTGTGATGCACTTATCATCAAATAGAGGAGCCAGATGACTCCCAGTGCCTTTAGAGGGATTACACACACACACACACACACATACACACACACACACAACACACACACACACACAAACAGAGAGAGAGAGAGAGAGAGAGAGAGAGAGAGAGAGAGAATAAGAGACTCATAATATAAAATTTAATGTGTGTGTGGTATGTATGTAGGTAGGTGTTCATGTGTGTATAGATGTGCATGTACGTGTGTGCATGTGTGGAGGTCAGAGGCCATCAAATGTCTTCCTCAGTTGTTCTTCACCTTACTTTTTGAGACAAGGTATTCCAGTGAGGTTTCTGTTGCTTTGATAAAAAACCATGACCAAAAGCAACTAGAAGAGGAAAGGATTGCAGGTTACAGTCCATCGTCGAGGGAAGTTAGGGCAGGAACTCAAGGCAGGAACCTGGAGGCAGGAGACATGGAAGAATGCTGCTCATTGGCTTGCTGACTCTGGCTGTGCTCACCTTCTTTCCCACACAACCCAGGACCACCCTCCCAGACATGACACCACTCACACTGTGCCCCCCATCTCAATAATCAAGACAACAAAAAACAACCAGGACACAGGGCCTCTCAGTATGTCCTGGTTGTTCACCTGGAGTTCACCAGTTTGGCTAAGCTGGTTGACCAGTAAGCTCCAGGGAGTACAGACACACCACTATGCCCACCTTTTTCTTGGGTAGGTGCTGGAGACCCGAACTCAGGTCCTCGTGTTTTTGTGGCAGTCACTGAACGATATCTCCCTAGCCTCTAAACTTCACCGTTTTAGGTGTTTTACAATGCACAGTTCAGTGACATTGAGTACATCCACACTGTTGTGCGACTACTGTTGCTATCCATCTGCAGAACATTTTTTTGTTTTCCAAAACTGAGATCCTACACCTGTTAAACAGTAGCTCCCTCTTGTCCCTCCACATGCGTGGATAACAGTAGCAACGTCTGGCACCCAGGAGGACACTGAGTCTCCGGGGTCCTGACGCTGGCCTATCCACTCCAAGTACAGAGTCAAGCAACAGAGAGCCAGGATGGGCTGCTCCTGTAACCTCCCAGGTCTTTAGGGGCCCCTCCTAGCCATTACATGACAGATCATAGCCTCCCAGGCCTGCAAAGACCATGGACTCATCCTCCTCCTTCCTGAACCAACGCACTCAGCAGTGACCCCCTTTACAGTACTGAGCACAGACACTTGGAAGCTGTCCAACCAAGTCAGCCTTCAGCAATCCTTACTGAGCCTGAAGCCTGGCCATCGTTCTGGTGTGGTGTCTCATAGCTTTCTGCCATGAGGGCCAAGGTAAGGCTGTTCGCTAGATTGTCACACTAAGAGTATAGGAAACCACAGAAATGGTTTCCTTCTTACCTTCTTTCTCCTCTCTCTCTCTCTCTCTCTCTCTCTCTCTCTCTCTCTCTCTCATACATTCTGATAGTTCAAAGGTCCAAAAGATTCTACCTTAATCTCTCAGAGAAGCTGAAACTATCCCCTAAGTCACCTATTTCAGAGGAAAACCCAGCCTCCTGACTCAGCCAGCTTTGGCCACCTATGGACAGGTACCAGCTCAGCATAGCTGGAGTCTGGGGCCTGGGCGCCGCTTGTCCTCCCAGGACAACAGTGTTCTTCGGAATTCTCCCACCAGGAACAAGAACGGGAGCAGCAACCCAGGGTGGGAGGTGGACCTGTGACAGGGAGAGAGGTGAGAAGGCAGAGGAGAAGTACCAGAGGATGACAGGCTGGCTGGCTATTTGCATCTGAAGATCCTATTGGTGGAAAGGCCCTCTAATTCAGGCCAAGGAAAACTGGATGGGAGCAAAACAGGTCCATGGGCAGCCTCTCCCTCGGGTCCTCCCCAGGTAGGTCAGGACTCCAGAGGTATTTCTTCATCCCTCCATGTGATCACAGCCGCCTGGACCAGTGTGCCCACCCACATCACTGCTCAGGAATCTGGTTCTTGTTTACCTAACACAGCAGGCTTCCTTCAGCTTCCCAGAAAGCTTGTGGAGGAGCCTGGGGCCTGGGAAGGGGAACCTATACAGAACTGCTGAATAGGAGGACCAGTGAGCTCCCTAGCACTAGCCCAGTCAAGACCTCCCTCGCCAAGACAGAGAGCTGGGAGAGATCTTGGCTCCCCCTGCCCTTCCTTGATCAAGATACCTGGAGCCCAGCTCCTCACAGAATGGGGGTAGGGTGGAATTGGATGAAATAGCACCTACTGTGTGCTCTGCTTTCTGTCAAGAAGTGACTGGGTATAACAGAACACAGGCCAATGGCAGAGACCCTAGACTCCATCCCCAACACCAGGGGGGACAGAAGATAATAGAAATGTAAACTGGCAGGAGCCTGGGGAAGTAGACTATCCTGAGATTTTCGCTGTTGTATCATCCTGGTGACTCGCCAAATGCCTGTCACAAAATAGGACACTTGTAGTTTTACTGGGTGAATAGTCTGGAGGATGATTGATGGCCGACAGAAAAACAAATTTAAGAGGTCATGATAATAGATCCCATTTAGTGAGCAATCACAGTGGTCTGACAGGATTGTAGCTCCACGTGCTGACTCATCCAGTGCCCCAGAAAACGTCACAACGTGGCTGTCACCCATAGCTTTCCAGTGGCCCAGATGAAGAGATTCGGGCCCAGTGAGTCTCTGCGAAGTCCTGTCTCCCGTCATCTTAGTTAGCATGTTCTCCAAAGCCAGGAGCGTGCCATCCAGCTACCAGAGTTTGTGGCCAAAAGCATCATAGTGTGGCTTTTCTTTCTCAGGCGATCCCCTCCGTGAGCCTTGCCCCCACCTCAACCCCCGAGGTTGCTTTTCCGGACTCCTAGTCTAGGCTCATAAAAAATAGTAGGAAGAACAAGACTGTCACTTTTTCTCAGGTGTACCGAGTGTCGTTCAAGTCACATATTCCATGTGGACTCTGTCCCGTTCTGTTCTAGGATAGTTTCGATATGCTATGTTGTACCACGCCGTGCCATATTATGCCATCGTGGTAAGAACACTTAACATGAGAGCTACCCTCTGACACACTTCAAAGTTTATTACAGTACCTTATTGGTGACTACAGATTCTACCGTACAGCAGCCCCGAGAGCATGTTGGTACTGTTTGCCTGAAATTTTATACCCACTCTTTTCTCCTTCTTTCTCCCCGCCCCCCAACAACCCCTGGGAATCACCATCAAATTTTTTTGATGG